ACCCTTTGAACCTTAGATCTTAGGACTGCTACTTCGACGAGGAGCTTGGAGTTAACTTTGTGGATAGGATGACAAGAATGTACAAAAGAACAACAACAAATCTTTCCTTATAATTAAATAACAAGTCATAGGACCTTGAGGTGACTTGCTTAGTGCAACATAAATTTTCACCTTACTCTTAAGCCTTTGCACAATCATGTTGTGCAATTTAAGCCCTAAATCGCTTTAGGCTCCGAGGTCATTGTTCGTTACGACATAAATCTTCATATCTTTCAAGTTAATATATGATTGCATCATGCAAATGTAAGCACTAATTAATAAAATTGACAGGATTAAACATTTAATAATATTAGTTCGAAATTGAAGTCAAATCATTAGATAACTTGGGTAGTTGTCAAGGTTCTCCTTAAGATCTGTGACATCTCTTAGTTTTCTCTATTTAGATTCTATAATAAATGTTCTAAACTTGATTTTTTCTCATTTGACACTCCTTTGTCCAACATTGAAAGTCCTAAACTTTGAAATTCTTGAAAATAATATTTCTGATCTAAATTGAGAGTTTTCTTAGGTGACCTTGGTCATTTATGATGTAATTAACCATATGAGCTTGTTATTATGGGAAAATTTAGAACCCGACTTTATATAAACCCTACTAATTTTCCATATTAGATAGGAGACATTTGTCGGCTAACATAAATAGTTTCGCATACTAAAACAGATGTCATAAATTCTTTAGTTTAATTAATCGAGTCTTACTAGTAAATAATATGTCTATTCATCAACATAGATGCATTACTTGCAGTGTAGTGCTCTTTCATTTAAATTATTGTCTATATGAGATCAGTTCGATCTCGTATTTTCAAAATTAAACTATTACTTTTCAAAACTATATATATATATTCGAAATACACTCCCAATTTGGCGGCGAACAATCCCCAAAGATATAACTAAGAAGAATGTGTTCTATTGGAAGTTCTACGATTTCAGAATAAATTATAATCATCGAGATATATGTGAGAAGTATCTAAAAGTTTTCTAAAAGTTTTCTTCTATGATAGTGTGGGTTAAATTAAGCTGAAGTATCTTTTGACAAATATCTCCAACCCATATCATGAAGAGCACCATATAAATAACTCTTTAGCCTTCTTTTTATCATATTATTTCAGTTCATTTTTTCCTATCTCCCTTATCCCTTTATTAATTTTGATAAAAGGAGCGTTGAGAAAGGAAATATTGAATGATCATATGAATACCATAAAAAGATCCTTAAAACCTATTTGAATGAGGCGATGTAGCCAAATCGATTGGTTCTATCCCTATAAAATTTCAAATATGAACTCTTAAATTTCTCTAAAGCATCTGTCTCGATGATCTATCTAAAAAAACATTCTTTAGTCAATTTTGTATGAGGGCTTAGGTTCGCCTTCTTTCCCATTCACACTCCGAGGGAGCCAAACCAATGTTATCGAGATACTACGTGTCATCCTCATTTGCTAGAGCAAAGAACAAGATCCTTCATTAGTTCTCCAAGATGATGGTGACTTTGGAGAAGGAGAGATTGCTTGCTCCCTTGATAGTTGAGGATGTTTTTGGCATTTGTTATAGGGTATCAATAATTACTGCCAGCATCTACTCTTTCAGCTCATTGATTTATTGTGTCACAAATTCTCTGGATAATTCAAGTCACTAGTGATCTCCCTATTACTTGGCTCCACTCTTTCTGTGACTCTTCATTTTATGTGGAATGATCTGACTTACCACACCTTTCAAGATATTAGATTTTGATTTGTCAATGACACAACAAAACCAAGGAAAGAACTGGAATAATGAGAGTTTTGCACTAAGAAAATAGGAAAGGAGAATTCAAAATCGTGATATTCCCTCTCCTATTTGGAATCCCCTGGCATATAGTGATTATCCTCATCTATATGAGTTACTTATCATTACAAAGGAAGCACTCATTACCCTTGGATGCTGAGAGAACCTTGACCTATCTCTTTTGTCTTCTTGTATCAAGAGTATTATATTTAATATTATCCTTGTCCCCCTTCATGAATAAATGTTCCTTATAAAATAACTTTCCTCAAGTGTACCATGCTGGTGATGTCTCTATCAATGAGCTCAGTCATGTGATAAGTTAGTCTCCTTAGGCAAATAAATCTCATAGAAAGCTCTGTTAAATCAATTGCGGGGTGAGTTGAGCTTCCTTAATAAGTTATCGAGTTGTCTTAGTCTTAGCAGACATCTATGTGTAAATCATCATAGGCAAGCTATTGAACGTTAATTTTTGGTTGAATCGATTAACTGGTTGAACTATTATGGTCGAATTGTCTCATTTGGTATATGATATGATGTAAATTTAAGCATTTTTTTGCTTTATACACCATATTCTTTCCCCTATTTATCATGGTTTTAGGCTTATGGAAAATTTTTGGCGATATTTCGCAGGTTAAAAGTGCGAGTTTGTGTCATAAAGTCAAAAAATGAAATTACCAAATTTAGGGGATTAGCATAATTACGTGAGGCCCTAGCGCAATTAGGTTAGGTTCATTATCGATTTGACATAACTACATAAGGGCTCAGCGTAGCTACGCCTACGCCAAATGCGGCGTAACTACACCAACCATAGACATAGTTATGCCGCGTCAGCCGAATTCTTATTTTGGCATGATTTTCCAAAGAATTTTTGGCAAGGGCTATATAAGGTGAGCTTGGGCACTACATAGAAGAGGTGTGCAGAATTTGAAGTCTTATTGCAGTAGGGATTACGATTTTACATCAACTTGTAGGGGTTCTCTTCTTTTTTCCTTCGAGAAGAGACTTCTAAGGTGAGTTTTCCTTTGAGTTTTGAGAGTATTTGTATGATAGAGAGGTTGAATATGAAGTATTAGAGAAATTGTAGAGAGCTAAACGTTGTACGACGAGGAGTTGAAGAACTCTCAAAGGCACTTCACTTGTTTGTAAGCTTGCACATTCTTACACATGTATCTTCAAATGTTTTTAATAAAATTTTTCATGTTTTTCTCTCTAATGTCTCGTAGCTAAATCTACCTTCATACTCGTGTGATGTACAGGTAGTTTTTCTCTTGTTTTTACTGTGAATTTTTTCCTATAAATATTTTGTGTTTTAAACTGTGCATATTAATGTGTTAACCTTTTGATTGTCGTCGTAACCCGATCACTTAAAATGTTAAAACTTCTTATGATATTAGAGTTCTAACCGCCGCCTAACGGAACAAGCAGGTTAACACTCAGTAACCTAATGAAATAGCAATATTGTTATTAGGAAACTACAACTTAGAAGATCTAAGGAATCATGAAAAATTTCGTATGGTTAAATCCCTTTTAATTGTAATATTATTTTCAACTCTTCTTATGATCTAGACATAGACTAATGAAGATGGAGTCTAGGTTGTGAACTATCATGTCAAAAAACTCATAGGAAAAACATCGAGAGAGCATTATATAGGGGTCATAAGAGCATAAGCCTCGTCACCTCTGAAGAACTCAAAATTGCTCCCCAACCTTTTTGTTATTTTCTTTCTTATTTCAGTCATGTTTAATGTTTCTCTTAGGACTATTTGATTTCATTCTTGCACTTAAACCACTTCAAACACGAGAACTTTCTCTATTAGAAACATTTTAACTACCATCATCATAGAATCGATACATAGGCTCATTATCTATGCATTACCTGATCTACACATACTTATGTGATTGAGACCTACCAAATAGTAGATATTGGGCATTACTATCTTGTACTTATTTCGAGCCCGATCCATAAACTTGTATTAGAAACATTTTAACTACCATCATCATAGAATCTATACATAGACTCATTATCTATGCATTACCTGATCCACACATATGTATGTGATTGAGACCTATCAAATAGTAGATATTGGGCATTAGTATCTTGTACTTATTTCGAACCCGATCCATAAACTTTTGGCCATACGGTATCCATCAAGTATAGTTATTCACTTACAATCAACAAACTTTGTAGGCTCAAGTCTAGTTTCTTCTTTACTTAATATTTTCTAACATTAATTTTTGTATAGTGATTTATCAGTCATTAACTCTAAAACATTTCATGAACCACCTTCTCATTCTTCACAATATACTGTGTGTGTATGTCATAATTGTTTTCATTCAAGTACTTCCACAAGATGACTATAAAGGGCCTATATGTCTCTTCAACCATTCACAAAATTAAACATTTTCCTACTTTTCTCAATTCATTGGAAAACCCATTAGTTTCCTTCATGTCATTTGGCAAGAAAAATCAAATGAATAACAAGTTCTACACTACAATTAAGTTCCTTTTTTTCACACAGCATTTAAACCACACCATAAATATTTCAGACAAATAGATATTTTACATGGTTAAACAAACACCTCAGGATTCAAGTTTTCCCCAGAAATATAACAATTCAACATGCATAACAAACTTATGATGCCATCATATTTACAAAAAAATGTTTATTGCATCATGGAATAAAAAAAGGGCATTTAAATACATACCACAATTCTTATATATTTGCATATCTATACCCAAATTTTCACATTGTCATGCATGGCACTCAAAGTTCTAATATTACATCAAAGATACAACTATTATCAACTTTTTAACAGGAAAATACATCTTTTCAAGCACAAGTATACAAAGTGTGGCATGTATGTATAATCTGCTTACATCTAAAATTCATAAATATCAAATTTTAGATGTTACATGTATAAATACATAAGCATCATGTGGTACGAATGTAAGTTTTCCAAAAAAAAAAAAAACAAAAGGTTCTAATTCCTACATTTATAGATCATATACACAAGCTTAGGCTTACATTTGAAGATGCAATACTTACAAACCTCGAACCTCGTGCTCGGATCATTTTAGTTGACAATTTCTATCGTCTGCAATCTGTCACACAATGGAAGGATATTGGATGGAAGATAAAATTGGGTTATTAAGATAGAAATATAAAGATGAAGAAACCAAATAATTATAAGTTGGAAATACAAAGTACAGAACGCAAGTTTCAGCAGAAGTTCCCAAACAGCACAGCCATAAATATGATTATGTACAGCATTTCAATAATAAACCGGATGTGTTAAGTCATTTTACAAAAGTTTAGATTTTGATCTCAAGACTACGGCGTGCTTCTCATCTCAAGCCTTCCAGACTATATCTTTCAGCCCGGCCGAGATGGTTTTGTAGAACTGAAAGGATAAAATAAAGTGAAAAATTATTAGCTTAAGTCGAGCTCAAATCTACGATTTAAATGCTAGTACTGTGTTTATCTCACACCTTATGAAATTCTAATGTGTCGCCTCTGGCCTTACGGACCTCTACCATGTTCAACGATGGAGCTACTTCAAAAACCTTTTTCACAAAAAAAAATAATATATTTCATTATGTGTTTGGAATTTTGAAATCAAATGAAATGGTTAAGAGAACACACCTCTGTTGCAATGGCTAAAGGGCCTTTTCTTCCACTCTTCTCCCCTTTCAGCTTCAGCTGTGAGGGATGACAAATTGAATAAAAAGCAGCACTTGATGCTAAAACAGAGAAGTTCAGAAGAAATTTTCGGATTCGGATATTGGAAAAGAGGAGTTTTTATTGCATACGGACACCGGACGCAACCGGTGTCCAATCAGGGCCATTGAAATATACCTTTTGTTTTTTTTATTTTAGAATGGGGCCCAATAAAATTTTTTTTAACACGATTCTGATCGGACACCGGACGCAAATGCATGCAATAAAAAATAAAAAAAGAGAGGGTGATATTCGAAAGAAATGTTAGAATTTAGATAATGAAGGAAAGAGGATATGATGGGAGCGTGGAATACCTTGTAATTCCGCTTCTCAGCATTAAAACCCAAAGGTCTGGCGGCTTCTTCTATTTTCGAAAGTATTTCTTCTGCAGGTAGTTTTGAAGCGAATCGCGTCTCCCGTTGAACAAGACCCTGCGCAAGAATCATACAGAACACAGACATTCTAAGAAAGCATTGCTGGAAAAGAAAAGCTGAAAAATGTCTGGAAGACCTGAATGAAGGTTCTATATGAATAGCAATATAAGATTTAATAATAACTTCAAAAGTAAAATAAAATATTAACTAATAATAGAAAAAAGATGAAAGAAGGCAGGTAAAAGCAAACTAATGAAATAATTGAAGTTGAAATATGTACTACTACTTTGATGGTCCACCAAAGGCAGTAGAATATATTAAAAGAAAAATTTGACGAAAAAGAGGTTGACATAGAAATATAATACATAAATCTTATTTATTAAACCATATAAAATACAGGACATGAGGTATACATGATGAACAATAGAGAGGCAAAGCTTGAAATGGAATATTAGTGGATGACCATTATATCATTAGATTAGAGTGATACTACATACCATGATGATTAACCGTGTCAAATGCACAAGGTTAATTTATAGTAGGATAATGTTCATGATCATTCGCATGAAAAAAAAAATAATCAATGTATTTTTTCTTGGTTGTATCCAAAGATTACTCACTAATCATCTAATATATATATATATATATATATATATATATACCCTGAAGCAAGAAGATCTGCACCAACAATGAAAATCCATGATTTTCAAAAGAGTTGTAACACTATAAATTTATTTCATGATATAGGTAAAACTACTAATTTCAAATAATTGCGGACGCACTTAATGCACCATATTTGGATTTAAAATTGAATAGAATGATGATGAAAATAGAATATATTAAAGAGGATATATCATAATAATTAATTAACAATTAAGATATGAGTTAATTAAAAAAATTAAAGTATTTCTGAAATGAAGTACCATAAGCTTTATGGAAGTTATAAATATTAAAGATAGAATTAGATTTTTTTCAACCATATTAGTTTGAAAAAAAATAAAAAATGGAATATATAAAAAAAATTCTCAAATAAACCAGTCATAAAAAAACATATATGTTTAAAAGAAAAGTATCTGAAGAAATAATTACACAACGAAACTATTACATTATAATTAAACCTAATTACATAAGTACAATTAATTGCCTCTAATCATATGAAATTTAAATAAACAAACAAGTGCAAAGAACTTTTGCCTTGGTTTTATTATGGATTTCAAAAGGAGGTATTTGTTTCATATAAATACTACCCAATTAAACATCAACAAAAACTTAAGTTGTTCGTGAAAGGATAACAAAAGAAAATTTTTTGTAGAAATATAGGAAAATTTTCAAAATAATTAGAGAATAAATTGTCACAAATATTTACAAAATTACTTCAAATAATAAACAAAGAAATATTAATTCTATTGTAGAAGTTAGAAAATACACCTCATTATCTCCTTCAATAAGAATTTGTTGCAAACACTTATTTTTAATAATTTATTAGAGTTAAAGTTTAATTGTTTCAAAAGTTGGATGCATCTCATTTAAGATTAGAACTTGAAGCGGTGTCACATAAATTTGTCAATATTAAATTTTATTTTAGGGCAAATAATTAAAAAAAATTGAAAATCATTAGAGTAATCACTTGCTTAGAAGGTATGAAAATAAATTAATAATTAGATGGTGAAGAAGAAACAATAAATTCAAATTTTGGGCAGAGTTCACGAACCAAAATCATCAAATCAAAATAAAAAGAAATGAAAGACTAAGATTTGATATGGCGAAAAATCATTTGTGATTTTTCTAAGAAACAATAAAATAATAAGATTAACAAGGGATTTTATTCAGCTTGGAGCAAGGAAAAAATGCATTTAATTCCTAATTAAAGGCAGAGAAGAAATTGATTATTCCGAAGTGTTGAAAATATTCATGTAAGGAAGAATAAAATAATGCAACTTTGAAATTTATAATTTAATTAATGAATTATTTAGGGAAAAAATATGTAACTTAGGATTAGTAAAAATAAATTAATACTCTCAGTATCTTAGATTTAAAATTATCTAAAAAAATTTAAAAATAAATTAATACTCTCAGTATCTTAGATTTATAAGTTTTTATAATTAGCTTCAATTTTTTTAAACATTGATATAATCATTAATAGCTTTAATTAAAACATTTTTTCTATATATAGATGAAAATCTTTTATAAATCATTTAAACTTTTTTAATTATAATTAAAATGTTAAAAATAACAGATCGATTTAAACATTAGATTAATCATTCATATGAAATATTTTTTAAAAAGAAATAAAATGATTGAAAATTTTTAAAAAGTAAAATTAAAAATAGTTGAAACGATTTTAAAAAATAGCCATAGGAAATTGAGTTTCAAACTTATGTCGTTTCAAATTTGTGAAATAAATAAATAAATATAATTAATTTACAATTAATGGTGGAGAGGAGAAACTAAAACCTAAAAAATGTAATAAATTCCCAATTCATCATTAATGTTAGAGACGAGAAACAAATGACTTGAAATAGCAACATCGAGATTTTCAAATTCTTGTCATTTCAAAATTGATAAGGGACTTAATTATATTTACATATAAAAAATAATTGTATTTTATTCCTAATTAATACTAAATTCATGATTTTAACTTATTTAATTAATGATTTTTTTAGGAAAGAGCACCTAATTAATGTGTGAAGTTTTATTAAGTGATTTTAATAATTTCAAATGATTTTAATGGCTAAGATTAATTATTGTGATCATCATTAGGTTTAAGGGCTAGGATTTCATATGAAAAGAAACGAAAGAGGCTTTTATAATAATAGTAGTATGTGCGTGTGTATTTTTCCTTTCCCCACACACAACCAAACACACGCACATCGAATATGCATCGCATTTAATTTATTATATTCAATTAAGGTATCACAAAAGAAAATAAATAGTAATGCCTTCTGAATCATTTAAATTAAAATAGTTATGTAGCAATTGGTCATCAAAGCAATCTGTATCATATTAAATTTATTTATGAACATTACACAGAATTTACGAAAAGGTGTCAAGGAACTTTTGAGTGTGAAAGGTAAAATAGAATGCAAAAGGCACAACTAACAATCCATAAAATATTTTAAAAACCTACTCAATGTATCAAGGATAACTTCCTAAAAAGGAGTGATGCATTAATAAATATAAATTTATGAACTCAAATTGCAACACTTGAAATCACACTCTCTTCTAATCCAAAGAATTAACACAACGCAACTATTAATTCAAAACTCCTAAATAATAAGAATCTGAAATCAATACTAAAAGTTTTATTGAAACGCATGATAAATAAGTTGCTTAAACTAGCTAGAAATTAGTTCTATTAAGCCTAATTTAAATATTTTATAAGAAAAATAGTTACATAACTTACCTAAAAAAATAATGAGGACATAATGGCCCAAACAACAACAAACAGGCATCAAAAGAAAAATTTTACAATCAAAATTGTTATAAGGAATGAAGCAAAAAAAAATGAGTCAGAATTTAACCATGAAATAAACTTTGATTTGGAGCTGAGAGAAATGAAAGGAAAAAAAATTAATAAAAAATTATATCCAAAAGCCTTCCAATATTTGATGATGGCGATTCCAATAAGAACTTGTGAGAACTAAGACAAATGACAATTGTAATTTGAGAAAAGGCAAAAGACTCAACTAAGTGGCTAATTAGGGTAAGTAGTATCAAAAGGGAGGAGAGCTTGCAGAACTCATTATTTAAAAATGTGGAATATGAGAAGACAAGCCTGAACATTTTTAAAAAAAAAACCAATATAAGACTCGCATCACATAGTACCTGGATGAAGAGTACACGTCACTCAGGCTAAGGCGTACCTCAACTTTATTTTTTGAGGCTATCTACAAATTTTATTTATTTATTTTGCAAAAGCTGAAAATAATATTATTATACCTCATTATTTATCAACATTTATGCCTTACACACTAAATAGCAAAAAATAAAAAGAAAATATTCATAAAAATTTATGCATTTGAAGTTCTAAGCATTAAAAATAGTCATTGTTTTAAATTTTAGATAATATTTTCATTGATTATTATTGATTATGAAAGAGGAAGATCATTGAGATTAAAGATGAAGAGAAATGAGAGAATATAAATAAGACTGAGGATGAGGCAGGAGAAAAAACAACTCATTATATCAATAATGGTAATAAATATCCATTGAGTGATGAGAGTAATAGAAACTTTTGCATTTAAAAATTCTAAAATTGATTATTAAGTATATTCTTCCGTGTGAGATAGTATAAATAAGAGAGAAAAATTTATGTTAGAAGTTATTTTGATTCTTATATTATGACGTTTCAGTATTTTAGTTATGTAACTTAACTTATTTTAATAGTTTAATATTTTGCATGACACATCTAATTTCATGATTTGATGTTAGGAAATAAACAATGTCAAATATTATTTTACGTGCTTTGTTACTTTTTTCTTTTTTAGAATGTTGACATGTTACTTGTTAGTGTGTTAATATTTTAGAATATTAATATAATATTTCTTCAAATTTTGAAGTTTATCTAGTAGTAATTCATTTACATAATATTTTTTAATTTGAGACTTACATCTCGAAATTCCTTGAAGCATATGACTAGACTCATAGATAGAAAACACCTTTATACCAAAGTGCACAATTTTAAAACATGAAAGGAACAAGTGGAAGAAGACTCATGGCTGTTTGTGTTAGAGAGGAAGGAGAAATTACGATCGATAACCCTCGAGAAGGGACGACAGAGAATGTGCAATATAATGCCTTAGCTCCTCATCTCCTTAAAGCAGGAGCATCGACAGCAAGCACGAGAGTTTTGCGTGCAGTGATGACGAGCTGAGGTGGTATCATGAAACTTGCGAGAAGGGATTTCAATCTTTCACCTAGAGGAGTATGGGTTTGAGCTAGTTCAAATTTACTATAATTGATTAATAATCCTAATGTAACCTGATGATTTGGTGCTTCTCGATAACATTGTAAAACGCTTGTGCTTCTCCAAAAAAGCCTCATGCTCCTCTCTTTTTAGCAATTGATTTTAATGTGCTCAACAATTTAATTAATCCAAGAAATGATATTCATTTGATGTTTTCTCAATCTATGCAATTAATATTCCTACCTTTATCAATAATAGATGTACCTTATATTGATGTCACATTTTGCCCACGTCTGTGCATATCATAAGTGGTGAGACTTGAACCTGCTATTAAAACTAAATTCGTTAAAATTTTTCAAGGACTAGATGGGTGAACTAATGGTCAAAGATGTTGACACATACTTTTCCAGGGATCTTAAACTAAGTTGTTTTTTAAATTAACCAAGCTAATTAACTATTTTTGACTCAAATAAGATTTATTTGCACCAATCCTTATTCTCATCAACCATGCATTAAAAAATACCACCAATCATCTCTATCTCCTAATCCCTCCGTTGACCATCTCAATAAACCCTAAACCCTGAAGCTATCATAAAACTTTATACGCACTTCATACATATTTTGCGTTATATTTTCTATAAAGAAATATCCCCTATTTTAAACAAATTTTTATCATTTTTCGAAATAATTTTATTTAACTTCTATGAAAATACTTATCTTTATGTGTCTTTGTATTTAAAATAGTAAAAAAGTGCAATTCATGTGACTTCCACACTTCTCACAATAGAGAAAGGAAGATTTAGCAACATACAACTCAATTGTTATGTATTTACGTATTTAACAATCAAATTCAATTTTTACATACATATCACCTTATCTATGCATAAAGAAGGCGTATTTCACTTTTGCAAAGTTAAAATGATGGTATTCTTGATGTGCTATGAAAGCTTTGGGTGGTATAAGTGTAAAAAAGCCAAGTTTAGGAGTTAGATATGTAAATGCATAGAAATTGGGTGGTATGCATGTAAATGCCCATAGAGAAAATGCCTCAAATTAAGACTTCACCTTTTAAAATATTGTTTGAAGCACAGCCACATGCACTAAGGGCAAAAGGAAGTCGCACAATTAACATTCGTATAAAATAAAGAAACATTAAGGACATAGAAGGTCATTGGGTCAATCCAAGAAATGGACTTACCATCTGCTTCTCAAACAGGTTTCCAAGATTTAAACCTTGGGAAGTAGAAATAAGCTCAAATGCATTCATCTGAGATGGCCTTTCTTCGCGCTGCTCAACAACAAGATTTGCTGACTCCTGCATGTTTAAAAACCTTGCATTCAAAGTTCAATCTAACAACTCCCACCATAAAATAAAAAATAAAAAAAAAAAAAAAAATGTAGGAAAAGGAATTGCAAAACATTACCTCTGACTCATCAAAAACAGCATTCACATCATCAAGGCTAATTTCAGCTGTTTCAAAACTTGGAGGTTGGTATCCTTTCCTAAACCACTCATTTTGTATCACTTCAGCCATTGCCATGCGCTGCAGAACACAATAAGGATGAACTTTTTCAATTCTAGTTTTAAGAATTTATTTTAACGGCATATTATCACCATTGCAAGATAAGAACCTACAGTTTGGGGATTAGGATCCAAAATCCTCTTAATAAGCTTCTTCACGCTCGTGGAGAACCAAGCAGGACATGTAAAATCAGCTTTGAAGATCTGCACCATCCTCCACATAACACAAAAAGTTAATGATTTTTTTCCCTGAAATCTTTCTCTAACAATGTTCACAACTGCCTCATGATCTTCGTATTCCAAAAGATAACTTTTTTTTTTTGGACTAAATAGCTCACCTTCTTATAAAGTAGCATTAGGTTGGAATCTTCAAAAGGCAGGTAACCTGCCATAAGAATAAAAAGGATTACACCACAGGACCAAAGATCGGCCTTGGCTCCATCATAGCCTTTGTTGTTAAGCACCTGCATATAGCCCAAGTTACATTAAGAGAGAAGCTGAACCAGATGGAATGAAAAACCGTAGGCAAAATTTTCTAGTGAAATTAAAATTACATGCGGCTGCTAAATTTACCTCTGGAGCAACATAATTTGGTGTTCCACATGTTGTGTGCAGCAACCCATCTTCCTACATAGCAAATATCGTCATGTGTTCTCAGTAAACATAATCATGAGAAGCAGAAGTTTCAAGAACCCATAATAATGCTTAATCATGCCTAAGCAGCCAACTGTTACCATCAAGACAGCTTATGAATTTAAAGTCAATCAATTAACTCACACGAACTTGCTGAGGAAGTGCACTTAGTCCAAAATCTGAAACTTTGAGAACTCCATTGGCATCTAATAACAAGTTTTCTGGCTGTCGCAATGACCACATTATAAACTATGTTAAAACAAATGATTTTAGTTGTTATAACAATTGGAAAAATGTGAATGTGTGTACAGGTACAATAGTTGTATGTAGAATTGGAAAAATGCATGTGTATTGATGGGGCAGTTTTATGGGGATGAAGGGCACCTTTAGGTCCCTGTGATAGACGCCCCTGCTGTGACAGTAGTCCACAGCATTAATTAACTGTTGAAAGTACTTCCTTGCTTCATCCTCCTTCAATCTTCCCCGGCTTGCCTGACACATGCAATACAAGATATCGCCAAAAATATGGCCGGATAATAGCTGATCCTTTGCAATAAAAAGAATCGTTATTTAATCTGAATCAATGCAAATTAATATTCTTACAATTTTGTCAAAGAGTTCACCACCTTTCACAAACTCCAATACAATGTATATCTTCGTCTTGCTTGCCATCACCTGCATAGAGTTATTAAATTAGCAAATACTAAAATCAGATAATACTGACACAGAAATTCTAGAAAATATTATATAAATAGCATCAGATAAAGGTTTTAGGAAACTAGTAGAGTCTGAAGCTCATGAATGCAACGAAGTAGAAAAGCATACGCACATTGGGTATGAAAACAACACAGAATCAGTATGCACTATTTTATTCTCTTCATTATCTTACGTAAGCAAGAAGAAAATCAGCCATGAATACAAACGTAATCATGTCCTACATGAAAATTAAAAACCTAAAAGAACAAATAAAATCAACCCTGCATTTACAAAAAAGTCCTTCCTTACCTCATGCATGCATATTACATTTGGGTGTCTGATGAGCTTCATGGTAGAGATTTCCCGTTTGATCTGCAGTTTAAAAGAATGCAAATGTCATCACACCCCATAAAATCTGCAAGAGGATTTTTGAAAGGCCCCTAGCTGCATCAGAAGATTTGTTGCACAAGGAAAAACAAAATGCTCCAGAAAAAAAAAAATGTTTAAGCAAAGGTGATTTGAGTTTCAAAAAGCAATAGGTGCTAGATTCAAATCTGATAGTGGCAATACCAGAAGTCTACTTACAAAACCTACAAGATCTCAAGGGCACTGTTGCCCCTTAAATAAGGCCCTTTGACCCTGTAATTATAGGGTTTTGGCACTGAGCTAAAAGCAATATTATAGTTTAAAATAAATACATGATACAAACGGGACACAGATAGCGATTAGAATCTCAAAAAGTACATGTGCCCATTGCCTTGGGCGGGCACTTCGAAGGCTTCACCAACTAAATAGATGGAGTCACTATCCTGTTTAGGCAAGTTTTATTTGTGCCTCATACGAATGCCAAAACTTGCGCCTCATACAAGTGCCTTCGGATCTAAAAGAGTGCCCTGTGCGCTTGTGCGATGAAATAGATGGAGTCACTATCCTGTTTAGGCAAGTTTCTTTTGTGCCTCATTCGAATGCCAAAACTTGCGCCTCATACAAATGCCTTCGGATCTAAAAGAGTACCCTGTGTGCTTGTGCGATAAGCTAATTTACACTAATATCTAGTGAGTTAACCCAATCTTATCGTGCCCATCTAGAATTGAATGTTTGAGGGTACATTTAGTTTCTCAATTCTAATATATATTTAGAAAGGATCTTATTAAAACAAAAAAAAAAGGTAAGGCATTTATTATTTTAATGGATCAGTAAAAGAGAAAGTGGTAAATTTTAGTATCCAATTTTTGTTAGGAGTACTGCTTTAATTTAATACTTTAATAATGAACCTCCTGCGACTTCCTAGTATGTCAATAGCAATGGGGTCTTTTCTATCAAAGCTTATCATTTAATGTCCTCCTTCATTGGGGCTTCAAATGAAGCTTGTGAATATCACTATGAGCAAGTTGAGTCAACCATTGTCACAAGCACAATAGGTTCAGTGAAGGATAAAGAGCAGAGACCGAGTTGGTGAAGGTGCTAGTAAAGGCTAGCTTGAGTAAGACAATGATGGATTCTAATCTTGATCTCGATTAGAGAACCCTTGTCGTGACCATGCTGAGTGCTTCCATGGAAAGTGAAGTTGTCAACTAGGAGGCTCTGTCTTAGGTAATTCTATCAAATGGAAAGTAAAAGAACACAATGGGGATAAAAAACTAATGTCTTGGACACTATACCAAGGAGAGCCAAACGATAGTGAGTTTCCCTCAAAGGTAAGACTAATTAGTTCTCTTTATCACAAAGAGTTAATTCAAAGAACCTTATATTGACCACTCAAGTGTAGTTATTCTATATTTGGCTATATGTGAGGTTATAGGTTAGTGAGGAACAAAGTTAGAGGCCATAGCTCCAAAACGTTAGGCCTTAGTAAACGATTTGTGACATTAACTTCTCCTTTATAGTTTTCTTAATATACAGTTTCCACTTTCAAACTTTTCAATGAATACAATAGGAGTCACTTTAGCAACGCAGCCGAGAGAGAATGAGGTGATGCAAGTTGCTGAAATTATTAGAGAAACCCTTCAAAAGTTTGAAGCAAGTGCAAGTGCGAAGGGTGATTGTCTCTTAAAATACAGTCAACAAACTCATGATGCCAGTCCCCCAACAACTACTAAGTTTTACAATTCAATGCCATCCCATCCACTGGAGAGGCTAGTGGCTTGGCTTTCAAAATTGAGGACTTACTTGAATTTCATTTGGCCACATGTGTCTTATTGAGGATCAACCCACCGGTGTGGAGTAAGTGTTGAAAAAGGGAAGGAGAGATTTTTCCTTTTGGAAGAAAAGAAATGCTCCTCCATTGCCTTTGACGAAGCATTGGCCTCCTTCGTAAAAAGAATTTCGAGTCCAAAATCACTCACAACTACAGAAGTATTCTAAGTCGAGTCAATCTTTGGTTGGAGGTGTATTCATTCGATGGTAGCAAGTCAAGATTGGGGCCATCCCTTTTGATGTATTATCAAATTTTATTTAAATTTTTTTTCTTAGTAGTGAGTATAGGAAAATTTTCCCTTGATGAAGAACGAATAAACTATTTATTGCACCTCATAATAATACATTTTCATGTAGGCTATGTTGAGTTTATGTGAATGGTATGCTAGCGTATTTAGATTTTATTTTCTATCACTTGCAACCTATTAAAAATCAACACCTTTATCTTTTTTCGGAATATAAATAGGTCATGAAGATTGTAATAATATAAAAAAATGCAATCCAAAACTTAGTTATTTGTGGTGAATGTAATATTTACCGCAAATTACATGCTCTATGTATAAAAATGCTTCAGCTCCTAGCTAATCTTTAATGCTTTTCATTTCCTCTATCTCTCTCTACTCAGCATCCTTGAGTTTCTCCAACACTCTCTCCTCAAGTCATGATGACATCCTTGATAAAGTGCGCTCAATTCCAAGAAGGTGAGTTAATCATAGGGTTCAGTTGCAAAGTATGATAACTTACTGTCTTAAGGACAAAAACTTCAAGTATGTCCTTAACATCTACCATTGAATTTCCATTTAATTTTAACAATATGGCCCACTCACTCTTCAATCATAGCAAAGAGTTTATGGCACATGGATCAAGACATTGACAGTTGGATTAGATTTTCTATGATTCTTGAATTGTAATTTGTGCTTTCCTATAGGACCATCACATTATTAAATTTTCACCCTTTTTTATTTATTCCTATTTTGCAATTCTTCTTTGAGATGTATATATACCTATTCTCTTATACAAACAAGAAGAAATAAAAAAATTGAGATTTTTCTCAATTATTTTATTTTCTACATGACATCAAAGCTAAGGCAGGGTTTTTCTTTCAGCATTCGTTTCATTTCTCTAAGGTTAGGGCTTTCCATTTCCAACATTATTTCACTTGTCAAATTCTCCTTATATACATTATGCCTAGGTTTTTTGGGCTTCACTTCAAAAAACATGACCATTAATTTTGAAAGCTAGACGAAAAAAAAACTTCAGAAATTTCAAGCATCTAATCACTTGAAAGAAAAAAATATATTAAATGGTCTCAAATCATAAAAACCTTTTGAAAATAATAGAGAAAGATCCAACACGTTCTGGATCTACCTTTGGAGCCTAAAGAGCTAATGTTCGTATTTTGGAACAAAGTTGAATCCATAATTATGACATGATTGAGAAACATTATGCTACTAGAGATTAGCTGTTGTTTATGTTCCTCTCCACCGTAAAAAATAAAAAAATAAAAACATTTTGAGTGCAATTAAAAAAACCTAATCCACTCAAAAGTGAAAGAGGGTATACTCATCTACGAATAAAATATAATTATTATCGCTTCATGTCATGCAAAATATTAAGTAAGATAATCCATAAACTCAAAGTGATAGGTACTTAGTTGTGAAACATATTCATAAAAAAAAAATGAAAAAACTTCTGTATTCATCAAACTAAAGGGAAATACACAAGAGTTAGAAGGAAGGAACAAAGATTTCACTTGTTAAGTATATTCTTTCTCTATTCTCAAGCACTTTCTCCATAGATTTCTCATTATTCTTCACTCTACAAGCACATTCTCAACACATACACACACTCCTCCTTACACTACCACTCTCCTCCCTACTAATCCTTGCACTCTGCTACATGATACAATTTCCCTAACTACTCCCCAAAACAATCGCCCAGCAATCAATCCCGCCACGAAACCAACTTGAAACTATCGTGTCTTGTCATCCTGCTACAACGCTACAAACCGACGTTGCGGTGCTAATTAGGTAATGCTCAAGCCCTACAAATATAGCAATGCAGTGCTACAAACATAGTGTTGTAGCACTACACCTATGGCAATATAGCACAACAAAAACTTGACCAGCTACAACAACACACATAAGTATATGCGCGTTCCAAGGAATACAGAATGATTAAGATATCATTATCTCAATGATCACAAGGTAATGCAAAAAAGGTAATTAGTAATACAATTTAACCTTAATTTTTATCCAACTAATTTGCTTCATAATTTTATATTTATCTAAACTTCTACACACAACAAATTTATCAAATGGAAAGACACATTTTAGATTTATGATTTTCTTCTCTGATTTTACACATTAATATGAGTTACTGCTCAGGTCTATTGTCAGTCAAAAACAAATTTTGTTTCTAGTCTCGATTGAGATCTTAGAAAACCTATACTTTCAATTTAATGTACTATATATCTATCAGAACTGTTAAATGATTGCATTCGCATATTTCTTAATGAATTGCAAAATTTCAATTATATATGTGTATATTCGACTTAAGATTCAGTCAAAATTCTCTTGTTTTATTTTATACCTCCATCAAGGTCTACAGATCACTTTAAGTTTAAATAACTATATGACCACTATAATTACTCAATGAAAAAGAGAAGAAAGAATAAAGCTTATCAAATTAATTCTTATCACTTCATGCCTATAATTACTCAATGAAAAAGAGAAGAAAGAATAATTAATTCTTATCACTTCATGTTACCCAAAATGAAAGTACTTAGCTACTACACATATTTATCAAAACAGTGAAAAATCATTGAATTTATCAAATTAAAGGAAAATACACGAGTTAGAATGAACGAACAAAAAATTTACTCGTTGAGCATGTTCTTACTCCACTCTCAATCACTTTCTCCATAGATTTCTTCTTGTGCTTCATTTACAAACACACTCTCACACTGGGACACACACTCACTCCTTACACTACTCCTCTCCTCCCTGCTACTCCATGCACTCTACTACATGACCCCATAGCTCTATCTGTCTTAGAAAATCGTCCCCAACTGTCAATCCCATTCTGAAACTAACTTAAAACCTTCCTTCTAAATTGTCTGATTGTAGTGCCACAAATTGGTGTTTCAGTGTTGATCAGGTAGTACTGCAACGCTA